ACCAGTCTGAGAAGGAAGGGGAGGGAAGCACAGGGTAATTTTCCCTGCCTCTTCCCCAGAGTAGGGACCATCTGATCTGGGAAACAGGCTAGGCTTTGCTCCCTGTTCCCTCCATTTTTCAGGGGCTGTAGGCATTGACTTGTCTGTGTCCTGCGGGGCATATTTCCCCCCCACAACATAGCATGTCAGAGCCCTGCATCCATGACCCCAACCACGGAGCTGCAGAGATTGCCTTTAAAGTGCCAAGAGGGGGGATCACCTCCCCTGAGTGGCATACCCAGAGCCCCACACCTGCAGTCCCATACATGGGGCTGTGGGTACTAGCTTTGACATGTTGTGTGCAGGGAGCATCTCCCCTGCAGGGCATAGCCAGGGCCTTATGCCCACAGCCCTGTCTGTGGGGTTGTGGGTGCTGGCACTGATGCATCTCACAGGGGGAAATGCTCCCCCACATGTGGCATTTCAAAGTCCCTTCCAGCCCCTAACAACTATGAAACATACCTAACTGTAAAAGAATAAATAATTGTTGTCACTTACAACAGGAGATATTGCCAGAACCACTCAGCTAATGGGAGGGGCCTTCTCCCATAGCCATACATGTGCCCTACTGCATATGCTCAGCCTACATACATACGTTTATGCATCCACAGCATAAAGCCAGGGCTGAAGCCAACTGGGCAGGCTAGAAAACTGCCATTTAAATGCGTAAAGGAAAACAGATTTCAGCCCACAGTTACCATCCATTTTTTGCACACGTGCACTAATTTAAGTATTCAAAGCTAAAGCAGAGATGGGGAATCAGGAATAATGACACACAAGTCAATGTAGTTACATTTATGTAAATGAAATCACCCAGGTCCTTGGCTTTTCTTCAGTACTACCACACACGCAAAACCTGCATGCTAGTATTCAGCTGCACAGCCTTCTCTCTCATGAGAAACAAGGATAGATTTATTGGATTTGTCAAAACTTTTTAAAAATAAAGTAGCTTCCAGTTAAAATGGCAGCAGGTCCCATATTCTACTGCAGTTTAGCTAGGGAAAATCCATAAGCTGAGGAACTGACCCAATCTAGTTACAGTACTGTTTAAAGATCCATCAGAGCCAATTGTAATGAATCAGAATTAACCCAGGGACAGAGAACTTACCTTATGATGTGAAAACAGACCATATGATGAGAGGCTGAGGCCCACGGGACTCTTCAGTCTGGAAAAGCGCAGGCTCAGGGGTGATCTGGTAGCCACCTATGAGTTTATCAGGGTGCTCACCAGGATCTGGGGGAACGACTGTTCACCAGAGCGCCCCAAAGGATGACAAGGTCAAACGGTCACAAACTCCTCCAAGACCATTTCAGGCTGGACATAAGGAAGAATTTCTTTACTGTTCGAGCCCCCAAGGTCTGGAATAGCCTGCCATCGGAGGTGGTTCAAGCACCCACTTTGAACGCCTTCAAGAGACATTTGGATGCTTATCTTGCTGGGATCCTATGATCCCAGCTGACTTCCTGCCCTTTGGGTGGGGGCTGGACTCGATGATCTTCCGAGGTCCCTTCCAGCCCTGGTGTTTATGAAATCTATGAAACTATTATGAGAAAACCCCCCCCAAAATGATAACACAAGTTAAAAATACTACAAAACTAACAAAACGATAACGTGCAATATTTTCCTTATTAATATTTTAGATCTCAACCCATATATTTGTTTGTTGCTAATTATCTATTCCCACAGGTAGGTAGCAACCAGTTGTCAAATATTTTTAAGTCCTAAAGATCTGTTCCCTCATGCTTTTCCCTCATTTCCCCCCTAAAAATAGTGTATATACAGGTATGTTTAAAAAAATGAAGAAAAAAAAGATATGTTTCATGACAAGAAAAAGAAAAGGATCGGAAAAATCAAGGTTCTGTTAACCAGTTGATATCTGCATGTCACCCCCCACCCCCCCAATCAAATGAGGGCCCTGAGGCTGTAACTTGCGGCGCACAGACTCCTCACTGGAGAGACACAAAAAAAACACCTCACAAGAGCCTCATTTTAGGCCTTAATTGGAGCTAGTGGGCCAGCAGCATAGGGATGCAGCCAGGTACCCAGGACAGTGGTGACTTCTAGTTGCTGCCCCAATTGCAATCGTGATCACACGGCTACCAGCAGCAGCCACTTTTTTCACTCTCCTCTCCCCCTCAAGCCAGCATCTGGGGAAGTGGTCCCATTTGCTCTACCCTAGTTGCACCACTTCCTGAAGGGAGCCAACTGGAGGATCTGGGCCTTATATCACTACTGTTTAGTCCATAATGTTTGCTTTCTCAAATCCTTTAAGTCTCTGGGTTATATCCTTAGAGACTGTTTCAGTCTTTTTTCTTAAATAGTTCACTTAAGGGTTCAAATATGGATTTAGGGTACTGACATTAGATGCCTGCATTTGAAAATGCTGATTCAGTGTCTGTAGCACAGTGTGTGCTATTAATACCTCTCCACCTTTATCTCCAGGTCTCTGACCCTACCCCTCTTTCATTTATCTTTACTTTATTCTTACCAAACTGTGCCTCTATTTTAGAGCTCTGATTTCTGAGATTAATCCACCAAAGCCATATCTGGTGCAAGGGGCAGTTTTGTGTTTCTTCTCCTTTGCTCTGCCTGCACAGCAGGCAGCTTTGATTCTGCAGACCATGAGCTGTTCAGAATGAGGATCTTCCAAAGAGTTTCTTCTGCAGAAGTGGCTTTTCAAACTGATCCCCTTGCATGGGGTACACATGGCACAAACAGGGGACCTCCTTTTCAGAAGCTGAGCAGGTCAGGAACAGCAGAGTGCTCTATCTCCCCTTGGAGCTCTACTTTCAGGTAGCAATCTGGTCCACAGATGTCATGAGACCTCCACTACAAATGCTTTTTGCTTAAGACTGCCCCAGGCTTGCTCTCCCCCAGAGCTCACCTCCACCCCAATTCCTTCTGCCTCCAGGTTAACAGCAATGCAGTAGAGATCCCACCTTCCCCATGAGTCCCAAAGAAGTCTACTACTTTGTGGAACCATCACAAGTCTTGCAAAGGAAAAAGCAGGCTGACTCCTCGCAGCAGGCCAATCTGCTTTCAAGGAACTTCTGTTAAGCCAGAGTCCAATTCAGGGCCCTCAGATGAGTCACTTTCACAAAGCTTCAAACAACCAGCCCCCAGGGATGTAGCTTGCCTTCACCTCCAGAGCTGCGACAGGCAGTTCCATGAGGAGTTCCTGTTCTAGCCCAAGCCCCGCTCAGAGGACTGGGGAGTTTCCATGCCACTCTGGGCTGCTGTTTAACTGAGCTTGAGTTTCTCCCTTCTGAAGTTTTCCCTTCAGACCTGACAGGGAGGAAGCATGGCAAAATGGGGCATTAGCCTTGCCTTAGCCCCCCAGTGCTTCCTTAAACCTTATGTGGCTGGCACAGAGCTTGTATCCTGCATCCCAACAACAGTTTTAAATGATCAGCTTCTGTGCATCAGAAAGAGACTGAGATGGAAACAAAACTGGGTATCTGCACCAAGGATTTCTTAAGACTGCAATCAAAGCAAAGTCAAATGGGTGTTAAAAATCAAAGAACTTAAAAAAAAGTAATTGCACATGGGGTTTATGGAGCTCGCCCACCCTGCCATGCTCCTTGCAGGTTGCAATGATGGAGTGGAGGGATGGGGAGAATAGCAGGCGCACTGCTATTCCCCCCACTGCCTGCAAGACCCGACATGGCAGCGGTGGGGGGAATAGCAGGTGCACCGTGATGGTGGCGGTGTGGGGAGGGCAGGACTGGGCCCAGGCCCGATGTGAGGGAGAAGCTGGGTCACCGCAGCAGGGGAAGCAGTGGGCCCAGACTGATCTGGCGACAGCGTGGGGGACAGGAGGAGTGGGCTCTGAGCCAACACGGGGAAGGGGGGTGGGGGAAGAGTGGGACCAGGCCCAAGTGGGAGGAGGACAGAGCCCAAACTGGGGGAGAATCCAGCCTGCCACAGTGGTGTGCGGGGAGCAGCCGACACAGCCCGATGCGGCAGCAGCTGGGGGCGGGGAGAAGCGGGCCTCCTCCCC